CAGCCTGCCCGGCCGTGGCACGGCGTGCCCAGGGGCGAGCGCGGCCGTTGTTGCTGACCCCGGGATCCCCCAGCGCCTGCGATTTATGGCACTGCTGGTGGGAGCAGGGGGAGGGCCGGGAGTTAAGCTGAGGCTGAGCTAAGCCCTGCAGATAGAGGACTCTTCTGTCCTAGGCTAATCCCCCGGCCCCCTCCCAGCGTTTATCAGATAGCTGAAGGTGGAGATTATGCAACGGGTGACTACAAAGTCATGTTTAGCTGCCTCCCTTCAGCGAGATGCTCAGATAGCCCCAGCCCTGATCTGCACCAGCATTCCTCCACAGTCTTCATTAAGCGCATACCTGAGGTCGTCTGTCCTGTAAAACGGGGAATGTTTTACTGTGGTGATGATACCGTGAACATTTCTTTAGTTAAAGTTTGCGTTTCCTCCATTCACCCCTTTATTTTAAGGTTTTATAACAGCTGCAGTGAAAATTGCAGAAAAGTGCAAATTTGCATGCTGTGCATTAGCAAACCGTTCAAGGATTAATACAGACTGGTTGTGGTTTTGCTAGGTTTAAGCTGTGGAGAAAGCTGCTTGTGAATAAGAGCAGCTGGTTTAGGTTTTTACTTGGCTTGTGTAACTGAAAAGTGGTTTCATTTGTGATCCTAATACATTTGGCTCACTCGTTTCTATTGCGTTCACATGTTCTCCAGTAGTAAGCAGCTACACGCTGGTTTGTCAGGTTGCTTAGGCTTTATCGAGATTGGAGAGGACTTCACTGTGACTTCTACCTCCTGCTGCTCCAAAAATCCGGTAGATAAAAACACCTTTGTCTCGGAAAACTCCCATGTCAAATCTAAATGAGGAGAGCCAGGCTCAGTGTTGTCGTGCTGAAGGGAGTTTGAACCAGCTCATCTTCACAGGCCAGTGCCATCCTAAGGTTGGGGTTCCTCAAGGTCTGCGTCATTTCACGGGGTGCAGTGGGGTGTGGGGAGCACAGCACGCACGGTGGGGGTTTGTTTAGTTGTGTGTCTGCCCAGTCGGAGCGCTCCTGTGAGCTCCCAGCGCGGGGCGGTGGGCGCAGGCAGCTGCTGTGCCCCGCTCCATCTCCTGCGCCCGGCAGCGAGGGGCTCAGCCCCTGCCTGCTCCCGGCTTCTTCCTCCCTTCCTGCTCTGGCTCTGCCATCTCTTTTTACAGTAACCCCATCAGATAGTTTCTCTGTTTTGCATGTGTGCTCTCCTTTTCCTTCTTGCTCTTCAAGGTTTTTCTATTCTTTCTGTCCCTTGTACCATCTCCTTGTTTTTCTGACCTGGTCGGTCTGTCTGTCTCCCTTCCCTTACTCTCCCCACCTCTTCTTATTCATCTTCTCGACCACTTTCCTTTGCCCATCGAGACCCGTCATTTCCAAGACCATACGACCTGCTGCCGCCTACGCCGGAGCATCTCTGTAATTCCCTCATCACCTGGACATGAGGCCGCTCGGGTGCTGTCTGGAAGGAGCCTGTGTCCCTGCTGAGGCGTAAGGGTGCCATGTGGGCGTAAGGGTGCCATCTGGGTCACTCTCTTCTACTCCTGTCACCCGGATGTACCTAAAGGAGCACTGGCCCTCGAGTGTCTTTGCTCTGCAGCTCATGGCCGTCCTGGGGGAAGAGGAAAGCGGCTCTGGCTGCTCTCCTCCCCGGCTCTGCCGGTGAGGTCCGAAACGCCTCATGGTCTGGGCTGTCCCACCTTCCCCTTCCCAAGGGGCAACCTTGACAGCTTTGTGGTGTGTCTGCCACATACTCCTGGCTTCCCCATTAATTTGATTGTGGCTATCACATGAGCTCCTGCAGTGGAGAATTTTCTCCTCTGCATTTTGAGCAGTCGGGCTGTAGAGGAATAATGTCCTGCACAGCACAGCCTGCATCTGCAAGGCAGGTCCTGGGAGCGTATGCACTTCTTGTGTCTCCTAAGCAGCTTGCCTTTAACTAAATGTGACTAAATATATGTATCACACAAACTCCAGAGGGAAAGGACTGAGACGCTGAAGTTAAACTCTGGGTACCCGAGGCTCGCGGGGAGAACCACGTGCAGCATCTGTCCCCAGGGAGCTGCAGAGAACTGTTGCCACCTCGCGGGCCCTGCTTTAGCTGTGGGTATTTCTGCCTGTTGGAGATTGCACGGTCGTGCATTCGAGCCAAGAAATACCGGAAATAATCTGGTTTAACCAGCATCCATAGGAAACGTGCAACTGAGTGAAAGGCAGACGTGTGGTTCCTCAATTCCCATAGCTCCAAACCAAAGCAACGTTTGTTCTGTTCCTCTGGGCCCCCACCTTGCTCAGCCAGGGTGATCCAGTCATCTGGGTAGTGATTACTTGACGTTTGGGAAAGCAACCCCGTGAAGTATACTGCAGATTTGTGTGTACCCCGGAACACGCTTGCACGGTGCCCATCTTTGAAGCGCAGCTCTGTTTGCAATTACCGGGATATTAATGGGTTAAAACACCGGGGTGGGGGAAGGCAGATTGGCCTGGCATGCGAGGGGTTAAGCTGTTTGGCTGTGCTAAACATCTGCTGGGGAAAAGCTCCTGGTGCAGCTTGCTGTCGTTATTTTAAGTGCAGCTGACTGTTAATGTGAAGCAGGGTTTAGGCCTCCCGATGCAGATGCTAACGAGGATCCCTCTGGGTTAGCTACCTGGGTCTCTTCAGCCCTCATTTACTTTTTCCTTTCCTTTTGGCATCGGTGTCTATGGAGATCACTGCCTACTCGCTGGTTCTCGCTGAGCTGTGCGTCGTCCCTGCTCCGTCTCAGAGGCAATGTTAGAGTCTTAAGATACTGAATTTAACGTGACGGCTCCTGTTGCTGGGAGTCCTGCAATTTACATTCTTAGCCACCCCGAGGTCTTCCAAAGATTTGGAGGAGGAACAGTAAAATCACGTCATTGTGGCTTAACCATACCATCATTTCTGTAATAATGAACAACGTCATTCAGTTGGGTTCTGGGCAGTGATTTGTGCCATGAGGCTTTTGCTGGCACTGCTGGAGCTGCTGTAGGAAGCGAGGAGATGGCCGGGTCCCTCTGCTTGCCCCTGGGAGCACACAAGGTGTGTCAGTATTTCATGTTCATTGGTGTCTGCCCAGCACCATTTCTCTATTTGCACACCCTGGTCTGTGCAGTTGATGCAGGGCACTTCAGACCCCTTTTCCCCCTCAGGGTTTCTGTTCCTCTTTGCTAACGACAGCCTGAAGTTCGATGGAGGCTCTTGCCCCTGCTCCAAGGGTCCAGTCCTGGCACTGGGAAAGTGAAAGATGGAGCCCGCCCTTGCAGCCGTGCGCCGCTGCTCTCCAGCGCTGTGCGATGGAGCTGTGCGAGCCCGATGGCCGGCTGCCTCTTTGTCAAACTGACTGTACAGAAACCCAAGGGTTTTCTTACTGCGTGCCCGCAGCGGGTGCTGGCACCACTGGGCACCGAGAGGAGCATTCAGAGAAAAAACTGAAAATTTGGAATAAACTTCTGGGGCAGCGCAGCGTGCTTGTGCCACACTGATGAGAAAACATCATCCATTTCACATAAGAGGTAGTGCCAGGGAAGCCGCTCGGGGACTTGTTTTGTCCCCAGCTGATGGGTTTGACCTCCTGCGAGACCCTGCTCGGTGGCAGAGGCGCTGCAGCGATGTGGCCTCTTAGGGCTGTAACGTGTGCTCCTCACCATCTAAACAGCACTTCGTTTCCCAAACCACTTTCATTTCTGATAAATTGTGTGGCTAAGGGCATTTATGAGAGGCTGTTTTTTTAAACAGACTTGGGCTTTACTTTTCTTCATTCTTGCCACTGTTGAGAATTTCTGGACTTAATACCCTGTGAATATGTTGAATCGAAATTACTTCATTGGCGGTTGAGGAACTGGAGTTGTCGAGGCCTGTGAAGCTGCAGAGCTGGAGGCTCACCCCTCTGCATGCCTCGCTACGCTGACCCGGCGAAGGCGGCGAGGAGCCTCGCGCCAGCGGCACCTCCGGCCGGGCTATGGC